TTTCTCCCACAGAACAGCTGGTAGTTTCAAACTGCTGACCTTGCGGTTCCCAGCCCGATTCGTAACCACTACGCTACCAGAACTCCTTTACTTATGTATACATACATATATATATATACAGAGAGAGAGGGGGAGAGAGAGAGAATAAATCTTCTTGGTGCAGTGCTGTGGATAAAGCACTGGACTGCAAGGTTGGTTTGAACAGCATATACTCATATATATGGACATCAGAACTTATATATATATATATACACTGTTAGCACAATCGTTGTTGTTGCTATCGAGTTAGTTCTGACTCATAGCCACCCTGGATAGGGTTTCTGAGGAGCAACTCGTGAGTTTGAACATGAGAAATGGTCCCATATTTGAGTTCAGTATACAGAATAGCATTCTTTCCTTAAGTTACTGGCTATTATCTTTGCATCTTGGGATAAAATAGAACACAAAGAAGTGTTCTTCAAATTAGTCCTGAACAATTAAATTGAATGAACACATCTACTTCAGGAAGTTTATAAGTTAGCTAATGCTAATCTTGGATCGTGAAAATTTCAGATTTGAAATAGCAATTAAAATCATTCCTTTGTTCTTCCAACACTGTGTTCAAATCACACAACTCTTTTCAAGTTAGCTCTCTCTACGTCTTTGTCTCCTTTCAGGCTCTTATGCTTCCTTTTCCCAAAACACCCTTTGGGACCTAAGAAGTGTGAGAGCACCACTATCTTAGAGTTGTTGTTGTTGTTAAGTGCCATGGAGTTGGTTCTGACTCATAGCAACCCTGTTTAGGGGTCTTCCTCTGCTTTACTGACCCTCCACTTTACCAAGCATGATATGCTTCTTCAGGGACTGGCTCCTCCTGATATGTCCAAAGTATGTTGTTGTTGTTGTTGTTGTTGTTGTTAAGTGCTGTCGAGCCAGTTCCGACCCATAGCAACCCTGAATAGGGTTTCCGAGGAGCTTCAGGTGATCTTGAACCACTGGCCTTGCAGTTCAAATGGCTTTGCAGTCTGGTGCATTAACCCACAGCGCCATATCAGGACTCCATGTCCAAAGTATGAGAGACAAAATCTCCCTATTCTGGCTTCTAAGAAGCATTCTGGGTGTACTCCTTCAAACACAGATTTGTTTGTTCTTCTGGCAGTCCATGGTACTTTTACTATTAAACTCCAACACCATAAATCAAATGCATCGACTTTTTATGGCCTTCCTTATTCATTGTCCAGTATTTATATGCATATGAAGCTATTGTAATTACGATGGCATGGGTCAGGCACACCTTAGTCCTCAAACTGACAGTTTTGCTCTTGAAAATTTTATAAAGGTCTTGTGCAACAGATTTGCCTAGTGCTACTTTAATGGCTGCTGAGCAAAATGAAGTCTTTGACAACTTCAATCTTCTCCCATTTATCATGATGCTATTTACTGGTTCAGTGATGAGGATTTTTGTGTTCTTTACATTGACGTGTAACCCCAATTGAAGGCTGTGGTCTTTGATCTTCATGTGTAAGTATTTTAAGTCCTCTTTGCTCTTAGCAAGCAAGATTGTATCATCTACATATAGCAGGTTGTTAATGAGTCTTTCTCCAATCCTGATGCCATGCTCGTCTTCATATAATACAGCCTCTTGCATTATTTGCTCAGCATACAGATTGAATAAGTATGGTGAGCAAATACAATCCTGGTACACACTTATTCTGATTTTAAACCATTCCATATTCTTTTGTTCTGTTCAAACAACTACCTACTAGTCTATGTACAGGTTCCTCATGAACACAATTAGTATTCTGGAATACTCATTCTTTACAATGTTATCCATAGCTTTCCATGATTCACACAGTTGAAAGCCTGTACATAGTCAGCAAAGCACAGGTAAACATCTGTCTGGTATTCTCTGCTTTCAGCCAAAATCCAACTGATATCAGCAATTACACATTCCACATCCTCATCTGAATCTGGCTTGAACCTTTGGCAGTTCCCTGTCAATGTATTGTTGCAGCATTTTTTAAATTATCTTTAGTAAAATTTTACTTGCATGTGATATTAATAATATTGTCTGATGATTTTTGCATTCTGTTGGGTCACTTCTCTTTGGAACGGGCACTATAGTATCTGAATCTTTTCCAATCAGTTGGCCAGGTAGCTGTCTGGTACCCCCAGTGATGCATCAGTTTATTGAGAGATTTCAGTCTGTATTTCATCAATCCCCAGAGCCTTGTTCTTTGCCAATGCCTCCAGTACACCTTAATTGTCTTCCTTCAATACCTTTGGCTTTTGATCATATACTACTTCATTAAATGTTTCAACACTGATCACTTCTTTTTGGTACAGTGACTCTGGGTATTCCTTCTATCTTCTTTTGATGTTTTCTGCATCATTCAATACTTTGCCCATAGGATGCTTCAGTATTTCAGGTCAAGGATTGGATTTTTTTCTTTAGTTCTTTCAGTTTGAGAAATGCTGAGTATGTTCTTCCCTTTAGGTGTTCTAACTCCAGGTCTTTGCACATTTCATTATAATACTTGACTTTGTCTTCTCAAGCTGGCTTTTAACCTTTCTGTTCAGCTTTGTTGTTGTTAAGTGCTGTGGAGTCGGTTCGGACTCATAGCGACACTACACTTTTATTACCTCTTTATTTCTTTCAGAGGCATTAGCATCTCTATGCTGAAGAGCAAGTTTCAGAGTCTCTCGTCTGACATCCATTTTGGTTTTTTCATTCTGTCTTGTCTTCTTAATGACCTTTGATTTCTTTCTGTACGATGTTCTTGATATCATTCCACAACTCTTCTGGTCTTCAGTCATAAGTGTCTAATGCATCAAATCTGTTCTTGAGATGATCTCTAAATTCAGGTGGGATTTGTTCAAAGTCAAATTTTAGCCCTTTTGGTCTTGTTTTACTTTTCTCCAGCTTCTTCTTGAATTTTCATAGGAGCAATTGATGGTCTATTCCAAAGTCTGTCCCTGGCTTTATTTTGGATGATAATAAGGAACTTTTTCACTATCTCTTCCCAAACATGTAGTCAATTTGATTTCTAGTATACCATCTGGCAAGGTCCATCTATATAGTGATCTTCTATGTCATTCAAAAAAGGCATTTGCAATGAGCAAGTCATTTGTCTTGCAAAACTCTAACATGAGATCTCTAACATCATTTCTATCATCAAGGCCATATTTTCAAACTACTGATCATTCCTCTTTGTTTACAACTTTTACGTTCCAATCACAAGTAATTATCAACACATCTTGATTGCATGTTTGTTCAATTTCAGGCTGAAAAAGTTGGTAGAATTCTTAAATTTCATAACATTGACTAGTGACTGGTGCATAAATTTGAAAAATAATGGTATTAGTTGTAGACGTATGAATATTAGCCTATCACACACAGCATTGTGTTTCAAGATAAATTTTGAAATGTTCTTTTAGATGATAACTTGATGCCATTCCTCTTTAATTTATCATTTCTAGCATAGTAAAACATATGATTGTCAGATTCACAATGGCCAATATTAATGCATTTCAACCCACTAATGCCTAGGCTATTAATCTTTATGCAGTCCATTCCATTTTTGACAACTTCCAATTATCCTACTTTCATACTTCATGCATTCCTTGTTACAATTATTAATGGGTGTTTTGCAGCTATTTCTCCTCAGTTTTAGTTGTGCCCCATCAGCAAATGAAGGTCCCCAAAGCTTTACTCCATTTGCATCATCACCGTTAATTCTTCTTTGAGGAGGATGCTCTTCTCCAATCAGTAGCCTTACAACCTGAAGGACTCACCTTCCAGCACTATATCTAATGACATGCTGCTGCTATTCATAATGTTTCAGTATTTACTATTCTGGTGTTGTCTGAGAGTGTTCCACTGCTATTCATAATGTTTTCTGTGGCTAAACATTCAAAAGTGTCTGCCTCTCTTTCTGTTTTCATCTGAAAGCTCAACTGAAAGCTGTCTACCATGGGAGATCCTGCTAGTATTTAAAATTCCAGGGGTATTGCTGCCAGCATCACGACAACATGAAAGTCACCACAGTACAACAAACTGACAGCCCGACGAGTGGTAGAAACACTTTTCTACTAACTATACCATCAGAGGGAGAAAGATGAGGCTTTCTACTCCTGTAAGGATTTACACCCTCGGGAACCCTGTTACAGGGTCACTATGGGTTGGAACCGACTCGACGGCACTTAACAACAACAACAATATCATCAGCAGTTCAAATTCATCAGCTGTTCCACTGGAGAAAGATGAAGTTTGTTTCCATAAAGATTTACAGCCTTGAAAACTCTATAGAGGGTCTCTATGAGTTGGAATCCATTTGGCAGCATCTAATAATAACAACAATAACAAAAATAGAGACACAAAGTGGGTTAGCGGTTGCCTGAGTGGGTGATCACCATGAGTTGGAATTAACTCAAAACTAACTGGTTTGATTTTCTTTTGGAAGGAAATGATGGTGACTGCTAATGAGGATGAATTCCTTTTAGGAATGATTAAAATATTCTAAAACTGATGTAGTGATGGTTACAGTTTTGTGAATATATTAAACACCAGTGAAATATATATATTAAATGGGTAAATTTATGATAAAGATGTACAGCCTCAGAAACCCTGTACAGGGTTGCTAAAACGACTAAAAATAATTAGGTTAAGACCTAGTGATCTATGTCTGAAAAATCAGCTATTGAAAATGCTATGGAATACAGGTCTCCTATGACACACATTCAACTTGAGGACATCTAGTGAATTTTTTTTTTTTTTTTTTTTTTTTAGAGCATTGCCATAGGAAACAGAGCTCTTCTCTAGAAGATGGGCCTCTGAGTCTTACCACTGTTGTTGTTGTTAGATCCATTGAGTCAGTACCAACCCATAGCGACCTTATGCACAACAGAACGAAACACTGCCGGATCCTGTTTTACCACTAGAGGGAGATAATATATCTAAGGTGCCTGTTTTTAAATAAAGCCTCTTGAAATATTCCTAATTTTTTGTTTTAGATAAGGGAGTTCACAATGCAGTCACAAGAGGGGGCTGTTAGAGCTACAAATCAAAGCTCCTTCTAGGGACAGGAAAGATGGTGCAAATAACTTAGTATCACCCCTTTGGAATGCCTCATATTTTTATAGCCTTTTGGTGAGCCTGTGCACAGCTTCAAGGGTATGGGAACCCTAAGCCACTTCCCAAACACAGAACAAAGAGTTGATGGGAAGATTAGTATGTAGTGCGATTTTAGATAACCAGTTATTTGTGTCACGCATAGTTATTGTTGTTGTTGTTGTTAAGTGCCTTTGAGTCGGTTCCGACCCATAGCGACCCTGTACATTCCGAGGCTGTAAATCTTTACGGGAGCAGAAAGCCTCATCAGTCTCCCGCGGAACGGCTGGTAGTTTCGAACTGCTGACCTTAAGGTTCGCAGCCCGATTCGTAACCACTACGCTACCAGAGCTCCATAGTTATTGTAGTGGAGAAAAATTAGTAATTTTAATGTATTCAATTCTATAGAATGTGTCTGTAGGATAAGCACCTGACCTCAAGGCCAGTTTGAACCGCGAGGTTGGCAATTCAAACTCACCAGCCATTCCTAGGAAAACCTACAAGGTCTCTATGCGTCAGAAACTACTCAAAGGCACTTAAAAATAGCAACATTTTTTTAACAACAGCAACATTTATTTAGTAACCCACTTTTGAGAATAAGGAGCTCTTTTGGTGCTGTAGGAAAAACACTGGACTACTAGCCACAAGGTCTCAGTTCAAACCCACCAGCTGCGAAACCCTACGCAGGGTCGCTATAAGTTGAAACTGACTCTACAGCTCTTAACAGCACCAACCTCGAGGCCAGAAATTCAAATTCACCAGCAGCTCCATGGGAGAAAGATGAGACTTCTGCTTCCCTAAAGATTTACAGTCTCAGAAACCCTGTACAGCCTTGCTATAAGTCAATATTGATTAGATGTCAGTGAGTTTTGTTTTGTTTTGTGGGGGGTGGATAATCAGAAACAATGCTTTATGTCTACTTTCACTTATTTTATAAAATAATTTCACTTCATTTCCCTTTACAAATCTCTTCTCATCTTTTCCTTCTTGTTTTTTCTTTTTAGTAACCTCAAAGTATGGGAATGGAGATGAGAAAATAAGTATTAAAGAATGAGTGTAATTCAACTCATACCTTCTTTCCTCAAGAGCAGAGGCATTCAGCAATGTTATCTAGAAGATACTTAAGACAATTCCAAGAGTCAGTGTGGGAGATCTAAGTACTAACTAACTTGGCTTTAGCCTGTAGTTTCTCTCTTCTTGTCACACAGAGTACAATCATATTTTAAAAAGTTATGAAATTATTTCTGTGATATATGCTACAAATATTTTCTCCCACAGTATCATTTTATTTTTAACTTGACTTATGATCGTGTTTTCCTGAAAGGAATCTCTAACTTTTTATTTTAAATTATAATTACTGCATCTGGTATTTACTTGCTTTGGTTGGTCATGTGGCTAGAAATTATCTTCTTCTTACAATACGGGGCTGAAACTAGATACCGAATATTAAATGGCATTTCCTATCAACTCAATGGAGCATCAAACCACCAATTTGTGATGGTTTTGCCTTTATCATAAATAACCAGCTGCTGTCACATTGATTCTGTCTCATGATGACCTTATGTGTCTAGGAGTAGAACTGTACTCCACAATGTTTTTCAGTGGCTGATTTTTTGGAAGTAGATCACATGGTCTTTCTTCATCAGTACCTCTGAGGGGAATTGAACCTCAGCCTTTAGGCTAGCAGTCTAATGTGTTAACCATTTACACCATTCAGGAGACTCCTACCATGAACAAAGAATGGATAATTTCCTTGTGAATGGTTTTATTCATTCAGATATAGCCTATTTGTATTTGAATCTTGAAAATGATCTCCTTTTAAGTCATTTGAATTAAAGCTGAACACTGGGTAAACATTCTTAGTCTTTTAAGACTTTGAATTGGGGCAAACCTGCAGGTGGGGCCGATCCAATCAAAAGGATGTTCTATCTTTAGCTGGTGTTTGGCTGGTTTGTGTGTATTGTTCTGGTGGTGGTTGCTCGCTTTGTTGCTTGGGGCCTCCCCCGGCCTAGGATCACACTGTGTGCAAGCTCTGGAGCCTAGAACTGAAGTTTCCATTTGAACTATGAAGCTGGTGACAGGAATGGCTGTTCTCCTAACTTTGGGTAAGTGTTCTAGGGCTAAGAAGGGACGACTTTTGTGGCTGAAAGGCACAGAGTGGAATCTACTGCTTCTACTTCTCCCACTGTGCTTTACTAAATTGCTGGAAAGTTTCTGTTTCTAATTCTTGGAAGTCTGGCCTCTGTATGAGGGGCTGGCCATACCCAAAGAGATTTGTTTCACAATGGTCAGTTTATAAGGAGCTCTGGTTTCATTGATCCCAAGGGCCATGGAAGGTGGGCAATTTATGTTTGACTTCATAGCTTTGAATGCTGTTGTTTTTGTGAAATACCATCAAGTCAGTTCCTACTCATAGTGACCCCGTATAGAGTTTCCAAGAGCCATGGATCCCAAGGGCCATGGAAGGTGGGCAATTTAGCTTCATAGCTTTGAAAAGCACAGTAATAAATACCAGAAATATTTTTCACATACTATTCATCAAACACAAAAATACTTGAGTATGGGGTAAGGACAGAGAGAATTCTGGGTGTGCTTATGTCCTTGACATTTAAATGCTCCCTAATTTAACAATCAAGAGCTAATCTGTTGTTTCTCAACCCTCAGGTATTACAGGTGATGCTAAAGCCACGCAGCCAAATTCAATGGAGTGTACTGAAGGAGAACCTGTAAACTTGCCTTGCAACCACTCCACAATCAGTGGAAATGAGTATATATATTGGTATCGACAGATTCTACACCAAGGGCCAGAATATATGATCCATGGCTTAAAAAACAATGTGACCAACAAAATGGCCTATCTGAGCATCCCCACAGACAGAAAGTCCAGTACCTTGATCCTATCTCATGTTACTCTGAGAGATACAGCCGTGTACTACTGCATCGTGAGAGACACACAGTAGCTCTGATGGGGCTACAGCTGTATAATATCCCTGATGGGGGATGGGAGACAGTAGCAGACATCTAAGTGACTACTGAACAAGAATGTTGTTGTTGTGTTGTTATGTGCCATCGAGTCGGTTCCGACCCATAGCGACCCTGTATAGGGTTTCCGAGGGTGTAAATCTTTACGGGAGTAGAAAGCCTCATCTTTCTCCCGCGGAGCACCTGGTAGTTTCGAACCGCTGACCTTAAGGTTCGCAGCCCGATTCGTAACCACTACGCTACCAGAGCTCCTTACTGAACAAGAATAGATGCTGAATAGTGACAGAAAAGGAAGTGAGAAAAGGAAGAAGAAAGTTAGGAAATCAAGGAGAAGATGAATAAGATGAAAAGTGTAAGGAAGAAGTGCTTTCATTATTGAAGGGCTGAAAATCTTGAGAAGAGACTAAAAATTGCAACTGTAATTCTGCAATGGAGAGAAAATGTAATGAGAATGTGTCAAGACTCTTTGTTTTAGATAAATGTTGCTTTCCTTTCAGAGCTCAGTTTTTTTTAAAAAGACGAGAACAGCCATTTGGTTTTTTCAAAAGTTTTCTTCATTTGGACCCAGGCTCTGCATATTGTTTCATTTGAACATTTTTAACCTCTTTAAAAATTTCAGAAATAGAGTCATTTTCCCTTGAAAAGTTAAATGTTTTCTTTGTTACTCACACACAATTGGAATATAGATAATTTGAGGAAGAAAGCAAAAAAGGGACAGATATATGAATGTTGACTTAATTTTTTTTTTTAAAGAAAAATGATTTTATTAAAAAAAAAGAATGGGCTTGGGTGTGCAGGAGGAAGAGGTTAGTCCATTTCGGCCTTCAGTGTCCGGGTGATGATTTTGTACTTCTCAATGATGTGGCCAATGACTCCCATTCCAGACACTGCGTCCCGATCCACAGTATTCAGCATGGCTTGGGAGACGGTTTCAAATAAATGTTCCAGATCCATGTTGGGCTCCCAGAGGGACTTGCACATTTTGACAGTCTGGAATGTTATATCACATTTGTTTTCTTTTATATAAAACTCATATAAATATTTATTCTTGTGTTGGATCATTTCTTCTACAAGTTGGATCACTCTTTGTGTATTTTTCTGTAATTTTTTTTTCCACTTAAAATGCCTCTTGGAGATGTACTCATAAGAATTAACTTCAATATTTCAGTTTTGCAGAAAACTTCATAGTATGATTGCAAAATATTTTAGTTAAGTCCTCACTTATTAAAGAGCCCTGGGAACATAGTGGATTATGAGCTGGGTTGCTAATCACAAGGTCAGCAGTTCGAATCTACCAACTGCTCCATTAGAGAAAGATGAGGCTTTCTGCTCCCTAAAGATTTACAGCCTCTGAAACCCTATACTAGGTCACTATGAGTTAGAACCATCTATGAGTCAGAAACGACTCGGTGGGCACACCACCACCACTTCACTTATTGCTAATATTTAAATTGTTTATTCCTCTTAATTATAATAATCAATGTGTTCTTTAATAATATAAAGCTAGCTAGACAACTTGCTAGCCAGATTTCTTTCTTGTAGATGACTTGAAATGAAATTATTGAGTCAAGGACATGCCTAAGTGTGGCACTGTGGGTTAATGTGCTAGACTGCAAAGTCGGTTTGAACCACAAGGTCAGCAGTTCAAGCTCACCAGCCACTCCTAGGAAATCCTATACGGGGTGGCTACGGATCAGAACCAACTCGATGGCACTTAACAGCAACAACAATAACATACATACCTTGGTGATCACAGGGTCGGCGATTCAAACCCACCAGTTACAGTATGGGAGAAAGAGAAGGCTTTCTGTTCCCACAAACATGTGCAGCCTCAGCGTCAGTGTGAGTTGGAATCAACTCAACAGCACTTAACAAAAACAACAGTCCGTATCTTGGTTAACACTATTACCCATCTTTTTAGATGTTAGATAACCTGAATGTATCTCATTGTTATTTTCCTAATCACTAGGGCGGTTTAACAACTTTACAATTGTGTGTTGGTCCTTTCTGATTTCACTTTCATAGTATGCTCAATAACAATGTTTAACCAGTTCCCTTAGATTGTCTGTCTCTTTTCTTGTTTATTTATAAAAATTATCATTATTTTTCCTATTATATATAATGCACATATTTTCCCTAGTATGTTGTCAGTTTGTTTATTCAACTTTCGTTGGAGATTTAAAATTTTTCAAATGATAAATGTAAGCCTTCTAAGGAAGTCTTCCCCAATTTCAAGTTGATAAATCTAAAACCACCCATTTTTTGCAATCATAAAATGTTGATTTAGTCATGCTGAGTGTGGAGAGTCAGTATTTTGAAAATATATATGTATTGTTGGAACTTTGTTGTAGTCTCTTCATCTGTTTGGAATATGCTAATACCGTTACTACTACCATGCAGGAAGTATTTCCAAGATATAAGGTAAAGCATGTCAATAATAATTATAATGTTGTTATTAAGTACCATGAAATTGGTTCCAACTCATAGTGATCCTGCACAGGCTTTCCGAGGCTATAAATCTTTACGGGAGCAGAAAGCCTCATCTTTCTCTTACAGAACGGCTGATAGTTTCAAACTACCAACTTTGAGGTTAGCAGCCTGATTCATAACCACTACACTACCAGAACTCCTTATTTTAGCTAGGGTCATTTTAATGTTACTTACTTGGCAATCTCTTAGCGAAGGTCTTTACATGCATTATCTTTTTAAATCCTCATAATGACTTGAAAAGTGTGAATTAACATCAATTCATCTAAAAATGAGAAGCCTAGTTCTCAAAAAGTTTAAATAAACATTGCAGAATCCCCTTTCAGATCCCTGGTAGCGGAGTGGTTTACGTGTTGGGCTGCAGTTTGAATGTACCAGTTGCTCCATGGGAGAAAGTTGAGGCTTTCTGTTTTCGTAAAGATTTACAGCCTTGGAAACCCTATACCCAGTCAGTATGAATCGGAACCAACTCCATGTCACACGACCATGACTACCATCAAACTTTCAGGCAAGAATTAATCAGTCCCTACTGCTTTTCTGGAGTCCTGGTGTGGCGTTGTGGGATAATGCGTCAGACTGCAAAGTCATTTGAACTGCAAGGTCGGTGGTTCAAAATCACCAGCTGCTCCTTGGAAACCCTATACAGGGTCACTATGGGTTGGAATCGACTTGACGGCACTTAACAACAACAACAATTGCTTTTCTGGTGTGGCACTGTGGGTTAATGCACCAGACTGCAAAGTCGTTTGAACTGCAAAGTTGGCGGTTCAAACTCACCAGCTGCTCCTTGGAAAGCCTATATAGGGTCGCTATGGGTCGGAATCAACTCGACGACACTTAACAACAACAATTGCGTTTATGAAGTCCTGGAGTGGCAATGTAGGATAAGCAATGGACCTCAAAAGTTTAGTTTAAACTGCAAGGTCAGCAGTTCAAACCCACCCACTCTTCCTCTGAAACCCTGTACAAGGTGCAACTGTACAGCACTTAACAACAACACCAAAATTGCTTTTCTGCATTCAGTAACAAGAGGAAAATATAAACACAATAAGTTCTAATTAATGAACTGAGGACCATACAGGAATACATAGACAGTGCACCCAAACCAGCAGGTGCTTCACATCTTAGAGCAAAACATTAGAAACAGCAAGGTCTCAGTTGAAAAAAAATGAATGTCCATCAAATCTATAGAGCAGTGGTGTCTAATAGAAATATAAAAGCCACAAATGTAATCTAAAAATTTCTAATTGTTGTTATGCTGTTAGGTGTCATTGATCAGTTCTGACTTACAGTGACCCTATGTGCAACAGAACAAAACACCATCTGGTCCTGCACCATCCTTGTGTCATTGCTATGTTGGAGCCCATTGTCACTGCCACTGTGTCAATCAGTCTTGTTGAGGGTCTTCCTCTTGTTTACTGACCCTCTACATTACCAAGGATGATGCCCTTTGCCAGGAACTGATCCGTCCTGACATGTCCAAAGTAAATGTCATTCTCATTTCTAAGGACATTTCTGGCTGTACTTCTCTAAAACGGATTTGTCTGTTCTTTTGGCAGTCCATGGCACATTCACTATTCTTTGCAAACACCATAATTCAATGGCATCAATTCTCCTTTGGACTTCTTTATTCATTGTCCAGCTTTTGCATGGATATGAAGTCATTGAAAAGAATGTATTTGGGTTAGGTGTCCTCAAAGTAACACATTTTCTTTTTACCACTTTACAGAGGTATTTGCTGCTGATTTGCCCCATGTAATATGTCATTTGGATTCTTGACTGCTTCTTCTGCAAGTATTGGTTACAGACCCAAATAAAATGAAATCTTTGACAACTTCGGTCTTTTCAGTTTATCATGTTGTTTTTTAGTGTAGTTATGAGGAATTGTGGTTTTTATATTGAGACGTAATCCATACTAAACGTTGTAGACGTTCATCTTCTCATTTTCTAATGGGTGCATTTAAAAATTAAAAGCAAAGGGTTAAATTAATTTTAATAGTATAAATTATTTAACCAAATATTTCTAAAATAATATTACTTCAACATGTAACCAATAATTATTAGTAGCATAGTTTACAATCTTTTGTCATAGTTTTACCAAACAACTGATGATTTTATTTTGCTGATGAAGATAAAAGAGGATAGCTTTCAATATATACTGCACTCAACATTAAAAAAAAGCAAGAAATCTTCACAACTGGACTAATAAATAATATCATGATAAACAGAGAGGACTCTTGGTGTGATGCTGTAGAATCAGCACTGGACTGTAAACCAAAGAATTGAAGTTGTCAAAGATTTCATTTTACTTGGATCCACAATCAATGCTGTTGGGACACAAACTTACTTTAAAATGGCCATGCCAAGGTCACATCTAAACATGCCTCCTGTTCCTTCCCCTTGTTCCTGTAATCAAGGAAGGAGTAGACTGTCCCTCCCATAGCTATGTATACTCCTGCTTTAGTCATACATATTCTTCCTAATGGAAGAAGCTCCCTCTTCCACTATGCTTGCTGAAACTCCTTTGTTCTCTAGGAAGGCTGAGACAACCAGGTACCTTTGACTCTCATACCACCTAGTTCCACATACCACCCCTAACTGCCCATATGCTTGTGAATATCCTATGATTTAAAAGACTTTTATTGTTGTTGTTAAGTGCTGCTGAATCAGTTCTTACCCATAGTGACCCTGTATAGGGCCTCCAAGGAGCAGCTGGTGAACTTGAACTGCCTACCTTGCGGTTCAAATGACTTTGCAGCCCAGTGCATTAACCCACAGCACCACACCAGGACTCTTCAAAAAGACTCTAGGCCCTGGTAAAACTTCATGATCAGCTGGCTATGAAGACAGTTGTATTTTGCCCTTTGTAGATAAATTCTTTGTGGTTAAACCATCTCTCTTATTCTATTTTCAGTAATGAACTAAGGTCTCTCAAGTTCCGGTTATTTTTTATTTTTTTCTATTTTTCCACAGCTATGTATTTGGGAAGGCTTTTCCCTTCTGGAAATCCAACAAATGCTCATGGAAGCAACAGTCAAGAAATCAAATTATATGTTTCATTTAGGCAACTCTGTTGCACAAGATATTAAAGAGCAAAGGGATCAGTTTGAGGACTAAGGGTCATCTGACCCAAGCCATGGTATTTTCAATTGCCTCTTATGCATGTGAAAGTTGGACAACGAAAGGAAGATCATAGAAGAATTATTACATTTGAATTATGGTATTGGCAAAGGATATATTGAAAGTACCATGAACTGCCAGGAGAATAAAATCTGTTTTGGAAGAAGGACAGCTGTGTTGCTCGTTAGAAGCAAAGATGGTGAGATTTCTTTATCTCTTGTACTTGGGACATATTGTCAGGAAGGATCAGGACCTGGAGAAGGACGTCATGCTTGATAAATAGAAGGTCAACGAAAAAGAAGAAAACCCATAATGAGGTGGATTGACACAGTAGGAGCAAAGATATGCTCAAATATGACATGGCACCGGACTGGGCAGTGTTTTGTTCTGTTGTACATAAAGTCACTAGAAGTCGGAACCTACTTGAAAGAACCTAATCACAACCAAACAAACCACTGCCATAGAGTCGATTCCAGTCCATAATGACTCTGCATAGAGCTTCTGAGACTGTAAATCTTCACGGGAGAAGAAAGTATTATCTTTTTCTTGCAGTTCTGTTGGTAGGTTTGAATTGCTGTCCTTGAAGTTAAAAGTTCAGTGCTTAACCTACAACACCAATACTTGGAAATTCCAGTGCATATTTTACTTTCACAGTTCATCTCAGTTTGGATGCTAAATTTTTAACAAAGTCCAATCAAAACAATAAATCATTGCTCAATGAAAAAGCATTTTACACTGATTTTATTTTTAAATTTGTATACAAATTCAATTCAAAAGCCAGTTCAGCAATTGCATTAGCCATATTTTAAGTACTCAATGTTGCTAAGTGCCGTTGAGTTGGTTCTGACTCATAGTGACCCTGTATAGGGTTTTCAAGGAGCTACTGGTGAGTTTTGGTCAGCAGTTCGAAACTACCAGAGGTTCCACAGGAGAAATATGAGGCTCTCATAAAGATATACAGCCTTGGAAACTCTATACAGGGTCACTTCCAATCAATTTGCCAGAATAACAACATAATATTTATATATTTGAACTTGGAGACTCTTTCCTTCCCGAAAACACAGTCAAACAATAGGCTGACCTATAAAATAAACAATGAAAAATGTGCTCCTTAGAACAATCAACTGTATTGGATCAGATGGGCAGTGTTTTCCTAAAAGAAAGGATGAAAAAGCAAAGCGGGCAAAGAAACTGGAGGAACAGAAACCAAACAGGTGAAAACAGAGTATCAACACATCGTGGGGACGACAATCAGTGTCGTGGGACAAATTGTGCATAAATTGTTGAATAGGAAATTGATTTGCGATGTAAAGTTTCACCTAATGCACAATCAAATGTTTTGTTTTATTATTATTATTATTTTTAAGTAAGCAAGATAGCAAGGTGCTGGAGAAACAAGAAAACAGGAAGAGATTCTGATTGGTGCAGTCTCCTACACCAACAAGAAACCACTGAGCTAAAGTAACCACCTCTGCTCAGGAAATCTGTATAGGAGCGCCTGACTTAACTGTGTTTTCAGAAGAACCAAGTGATGGGTACTCTTTTGCAAGTACTCGTGGGACTATTGGCGTTGCAGGCAGCCTGTGAGTATGTGGTTAGTCTAGGAGTCTTGGTACAGTGATAGAAAATGACAGGACCAAGTCATTTTATGTCCTGAGAAAGCCCTTTAGCGACTCAACCACATGTTACAATATGGGCAATATCAATCTGTGTTACCTGGGGACCGTTGGGAAGGGTGAGAAACGCTAACCAACTATGAATGTAAAGATCTCACAATGATTGCCTATATTTTCTTTACATGGCCTTTCTGAACAGGGGTTTGTAGCCAAGAACTGGAGCAGAGTCCTCAATCTTTGATCATTCAAGAGGGAGAGGATTTCCTGATAAACTGCAATTCCTCAAAGAGTGTATATGTCTTATACTGGTACAAGCAGAAGCATGGTGAACAGCCCATTTTCTTTATGATGCTACAAAAAACGGGTGAAAAGAAAAGTCATGGAAAAGTAACTGCCACGCTGGATGAGAAAAAGCAGCAAAGTTCCCTGCATGTCACAGCCTCAGAGCCCAGACAATCTGGCATCTACCTCTGTGCAGCAGATGCACAGTGATCTCCATGCCTCTAAAGACTGTCACCAAACATGCAACTGGGTCACAGATACTTCCTGACACCGGCTGGGACATTTACCAAGATGAAAAGCCTGATGAAGACACAATTGTCTCATTACAAAAACAGAGGCTAGGAGTGACAGTTTTGTGCCATCAAGTTGATTTTGACTCAGGTGACAGAACAAAACTGTCCCGTAGGGCTCTTTTGGTTGTAATCTGTATGGAAATTGATTACTAGGTCCTTCCCTGTGATACTGCTGTGTAAAGGAACCACCAACGTTTCAGTTAACGCTTGAAGTCTTAACTGTTTACACTGCCGGAGCTCCTCTAGGGGGTGACCTTTAACTCACATTTAATTGGACTTTATTGTCTGAGTAATTATAGTACATTTTAGTAGTTATTACCTCAAGCTGAAAAGATACATACACGAATTTCAGTGATTTAGGCAATTGAGTTGGTTCTGACTCATAGAGACCCTGTACAGGATTTGTGAAGAGCAGCTGGTGGGTTTGAACTGCTAATCTAGATGTAGATAAATCTTATGCCTCTATTCTTGCAAGAAACTTCTCTGCCTTTGACTATATACTCATTTTACTAATAGGAAAAATAATCTAAGTTATTTATTATGTTCCATGTGGCATACAGGGAGAGCACCCAGAACATGTGGAATAGCAATGTTGCCACATATTAAGAAGAGATGTGGTAAATATAGCTATGTTAGATAGGTAGGTAGCTAGGTAGTTGATAGATATATACATGGTAGATGGACAGATGGCTAGATAGGTAGATAGGTAGATAGTCCAATCCAGATTTGCCTCCACTTCTACTTTCATTCAGACTTTTAATCTCAGCATTTCTCTGGGAACTATGATTTATCAAGTTGAAAAATGGTTTTCCAGTTTGTCCCAATATGAAATGGTCAGGATTGCGATCTCTATCTTTCACTTCATAATACCCAACATTGTGCTGGCCCAAAACAGTTGTTTATAAGTATTAATAGAATAATTAATACAAATACTGGTTATAAAGACAAGCAAAAATGGAAAATAATATGTTTTAATTCTCCTAGCTGAAAATAAGAGAAGAGGCTCTCCTCCTCCCCTATTCTTTCAGAATTCATTTGAACAAAATTATAATTGCAAATTCTTTCTCTGCCTCCTTGAGAAGTGTATAATTCTAAAGCGTTCCCTCAAGGACCAGGCAGCCATCTCCTTGAAATGCATCGTCAGGTATTTCTCTACCTTCCTGGAAGGAGATATCTAATTTCTTGTGTCTGGAACTCCCAAATCTACCTCTAGCCATAAAGATGCTAGAAAAATACCAATTTTATCTTGAAAACATGGATATAATAGGCACCACTTAACTATAAAAAGAGTCAGATTTCTTCCTGTCTTTGCCAACTAATGAATTACCTGGGGTGCATCTCATTCTGATATTATAGGTTTTATACTTATTCAATAATACCATTTTTCTCTCTTTTATTTATGTGAGGATTTCTGAGTTGGGAGTAGACATTTTATACCATAATGTCTTCCTCAATTAAAATAAAATAAAACATAGAGACCAAAATTTATTAATGGCTCCCAGGGGTGGAGGGGAGGAGGAGAAAAAGCACTACTGTATGGGAAACAGTGAGTTTCTATTTATGAGGATGGAAAATGGTGATCAATTAAGGGTGATGGTTGCACAGCAGACTAACATAATTCATATCACTTAGCTGTATAACTGGGAAAATGTTGAATTTTATCACGATCGCTACTTCCCTGCCCCACAAAAAGTTCAGCTGTTGAAGCTGCTTATGCAGAACCAAACACCTCACAGGATTTGTTTTCTTGGTTTGATAATTGTTTCAAGGAATATCCCAATCAATTGGCCTAAGATTTTTTTCTCAGGACTTCTCTTCTGCTACCTATTCCATTATGAGAGAGGAGTTTTCAATAATTTTTCCCCCTCTCTGTTCAAACCCTTTTAATCATTGTTTCCAATCATCACTGCCCTGACTAACCTTTCCCCTTTGCTCCAGGAACATATAGGCTAAGCATTTAGTGCTACACTGTGGAATTAAACCTAGGATAAGAAGACAAGCCAAGTGGACTACCAGAGGACCAGGATCTTTCATCCTCTGAAAGGATCTAATCTTAAGGCAAATGTTTACAAAAAGGCCATTAACATTGTTTGGAGCTATCACTTCCCAGGATGTAAGGAGTAGGATATAAACTATATCCCCCATGAAAGAGCCATAAAACTCTGAGAAGACTGATACCTAGTGGGGTCTACAGGGTTTGGTTGTCAGACTTTGGCCCTGTAATGATTGCATTATGACTAGAGTCTTAAAACTAGCAGTTATCCAACAATATAATTGGTATCTATTCAGCTACAGCCGTAGAAGAAAAAGGAGGGTCAAGAATTGGAGGAGGAACTGGAATGCCTGTGTGATTACCTCCAGGAATAGCTGCCTCCTTTGCCATGAAAGCAGGAAAATGGATAGTTTATGGCTACTAGCACTAAACAATTTAATCAAGGATTCTGTTGAAAAATTCTGGAGTCTAGTGTGGCACTATAGGTTAAACACTAGGCTGCTAACCCCAATGGCAGTGATTCAAACCCACTAGTCATTCCTTGGTGTTGCACTGCAGGTTACTGTGCTGGATGGTAAAATTGGTTTTGTTGCCAAAGCAAAACAAAGATTTGCCGCCTGTCACTGTAGTCAATCACAGAGATGGGGAGAGATCCCATCCAAGCTTTATTAACAGAACATCAGCAGTCTGGAGGACAGGGAGAGTAATCTCCCAAAACCATTCTGTCTTTCACAAAGAACAGGCACATTATATCATGTAAATTACATTTGGATGTACACTGAATCTATTTTAACATCAAAATTGCATTCTTTGGAAAAAGAAACAATAAGACAATAAGCTTCCTCAAACATACTACCTCTAGGGAAAAAGAAACAATAAGGCAACAAATTTTCTCAAACATTCTACCTCTAGGGAAAAAGAAACAATAAAGTAATAATCCTTCTCAAACATTCCACCTTTTAGGGTCCAAACTGCTTAGTTCCTGAGATAGCTATCTAGATGGGTTTCAGCACGTCCTGTTCCTATTCTACGACCATAAAGTTATCAGCTAATTTTGAAACTAATTTTCTAATTTGAAGGGTCCTCATTTGTCAAGACCTGATGACTAAAAGTTCTTGTATAGGGTTTCCAAGGAATGACTGGTGAATTTGAACCACCATCCTTGCAAGTTCAAACTGACCTTGTGGTTCAAATTGACGTTGTTGTGGGGCACTTATCCTATAGTGCCATACCCCCTGACACTATTACCCTGAGATAATCTTTAAACTGTAACTCTCAAACCAAAACTATTCCCTGAAGTCTTCTTTGAACTATAAAAAAGCTAAATTGTTTTGAGTCTTATGTCCTTTTAAATAATCATCTATGTGAAATCAAATGGACAGTGGTTATTTGAAAGTTTGTATGGACACTTAGGGAGCAGCAAGTTTAACATAATAGTGGTAGAATCATTTAGAAAAAGATAGCAAGAATGATAAACAACTTGGAGAATGTACCAATGCCACTGAGATGTACATCTATGAATTGTTGGAATAGTGTATCTTTGATTATATATGCACTTATCAAAATACATATATTTTTATAACTCTTTACTGGGTATATAATTAAGCATAAATCTGTTAATAATTTTGTGTGTATGTGTGTTCACTTTTCAACAATGAAATAAAACATAACTGAAAATAGAAAGTTATTAAGCTTTTGACTTAAGTTCCAATTTTATCACTTGCAAACTACATGATCTTAAACAATATCTTTAACTTTATAAGCCTCTATTTTCCCTCTATAAGGTTTGATAAAATCCTATTACTTTATTATTGTGAGGATTAAGTGAGATTATATATATTAAATATCTGATGGATTGTAAACCCTCAAAAATTGGGATATTATTTTTATTACTATCAAACAATGATCATCTTGTGAGACTAAATTCTTTTGTCTCAAAAAAATATCTTAAAAAAAAGGTGATCAGCATGATATAGTCCCAAGCAAAGAAGAGGGTTATTTTATTCTTTAAGTTTAGAACAGAAAAGGGAACATAATTATTTCCTGCCCTGCAAAACTGCTTACTGACGTGACTCCAAGGAATATTTTATATGAAATTGGAATAATCATTTATGTTGACCAAGCCCAGAGCAGATGAAAAACACCCCATAAGGAATGAGAATAATTTCTATCTTAAACAAATGTCACCTAGACCACCCACTGGGAGAAAAGTTTCTTAAAATAACAAGGAAAGAAAGAGGTCAATGAAAAGAAATGTTTGGTGAAGTGAAGTAAGAAAAAAAAAACAAATAAAGTAAGAATACAAGCTAATGCTCATGAAATGTATACAATTTATATATATACACACACACACACATAGAGAGTCTATATATTTGCATTTTTAGTTCAAAACCTAATTTTTCCCCTGAGAAATATATAATGATATTGCCCACAATAGATATTGCCCACAATAGAATGCTAAGAATACTAAAAATTATAAATATAGAGATGCATTGGAGTTAAGATGTTAAGGGATCAAGATACAATGTCCCACAAGACTCTAATTGACTATCTTTATCAGTAGAGAAACTGTTTTCAATTCACATCAGTGTTTTAGGTCTGCCTAAGCTAATAGGTTATGTAACCTACAACTGTCCCTGCTCTTTTCCCATCAAGTCTATCAAAAATACAATTTTCTGTACTGAGAGAAAAATCATCTTGTCCTATGATTCCACTTTAGGTTAATACAGTGAGGAAGACTGAGTACCAGACATTGATTTTTAACTTTAAACTGTAAAAATCTGTCTAAGGTAAATGAAGTAGCATGACTTTTCTTAGCATACTTTAGGTAGTGAATGGCTCTGCTGCTTCCTTAGGGTTAGTCCTGAACGGTTCCTTGGAATTGAAGAAGTGATCAGAAAGATTTTTGCCCCTTCTGTCTTGAG